TCTCTGAAGGAGGCCATGCATGGTAGTCTGCAATCTTGTGCGAGCTCCCTTTTCTCTCACCCCTGAGATACCAGTTATTTTAGACTCCACCTCCGAGCCTCACTACTTCCTCAAATCACATAATGCACACTCCACAGAATAGAAACAGTAATATTGAAATACCAAATCAAAATTTCTCGTTGCTGTATTTCTGACTATGTCTATCAACCTATCAACCTAGCTTCAGTCGTAGCCCACTCTCGCCTCGCAAAGAGTGGTAGTGGAACGACATCTTGATCTGTACTTGATTCGCAGTGTCTGGCGACTAGGTACTCTGAGGTGGTAAGGGGGGGGGGGGAAGACATAATTAGGATTTGATTGGCCCTTCCACAGAGCTTTCTCCTTGTGTCGCTGAGCCAGTCAGGGAATTAGACATCCCATGCCCCGACGGACGACGCCGGCAGTGGGCAAGAAATGAGTGGCCGACTAGTACTCATTCTTGACTTGGCCTGCTTGTCCTGAGGACATGGAGGGATCGATGGCGATGGGTTTTAATTGTATTTACACTGCTTCATGAACTGCCGAGTTTATCATTCCTTGCTTCTGCCTAGGGTTGTGGTTGACGGCGTCGTCTGCGTGGGACCAGTTACTGAGAACCGGGATCCTTATCGCGGTCTACGTAGATGAATCAGTGGGGAATAAAAGACTTTTTGAAGGTGGGAGACTAGCTGACGAACTCATGCACCCTTCAGTGTCTGTTCTCAGGACACCATCCCGGCAATGCTGAATGCTTGTTCTTCCATGCATCTTGGTTTGATAGAGAAATCTCCGAGGCGTTTTTGTGACATACTCGAGCGACTGACCACCAACCAAAGATGTCTGAGTTGAGTGGACAGAGATTAGATCGATGGTGTCACAACATAATCGCTCGGCATGCTCATAGGACCAACAAATCTTCATGTGGATGGCCAAATAGTGACAAAGAACATGTGAGTAGGGTCCCAAAGGTAGGGGAGAGGGCTTGAGCCCCTTCTGTGAGATTATACATGTTAGCAAGAAAGAAAGAAGGGATAGAGGTGGTGGTATGCATAGTAGTGTAGAAAGGGGCCGTTAAATCACCATGTAGAATTTCCTTTGCATCTTGGACCTTCCAATCTTCTCCAGATACCCTGTAACGATCTGAAGCCCTGGGTGCCAACCCTAAAGGGTTAGGCCATGCTAGCACCTTTGTAACGGTTAGTTATGTCCTGCCTGTGACAACGGGTACTTCTGTGAGATGAAGCAATAGTCATAGATGACTGAGCTCGGAGTGAGAGAAGAGTGAATGGGGTCGTGGGTGAACTCACCGATGAACGTTATGATCTGGCGAGCGAATGCTGATATTGACGGTAAGTTTAGAAGAGAGTAATATCTCAATCCACTCGAATAGCCCGAACATACACACCACTTGAAGCTTATTCTCGACGCCTTGGATTAAAATAATTTTTTTTGCCGAGAATTGCTGACAGGCTGCCAAGGTAGACTAATGCCGTGAATGATAGTACACATACTCCGTACTCCATAGTCAAATCCCGTTCAAATCGAAGGATTCTCAGAGCAAATGGCGTCTGAACGCGGTCCCCGGGGCCGAGATTTAGGGTTATGTTTCGGATATTTCAATTGTGCCTTACATAAGCAGGGTTTGACCGGAGCCTGGGTACAGGCGGGTGTGTTTAAAGCGGGCAGAAATTTCAACAGACAAGGCGGGACAGGGGAGAAAGCCAATGAAATGGTAGAGATCACGTGGGCGGCAGACCCGAAACCCACTTTCGGAAGAAAGGACTGTGAGATCGTGGGGGACTAGCCCTAATTAGGAAGTAACGTTGGGGCTATCAACTATAGAACATTGGATGGCATGATCTAAACAAACAGATCCGGCCAATTTCATCCATACCGAAGTTTTCAAAACAGTGGGGATGGTTTTAACGGGGTTTGACTGTAACACTCACACCAAAAGTGGCAAAGCCCGCGGAAGTGAGGCACATTGGGAAAGAACATCCGTACCTCGGGATTTGGCCGGGTGGGCCAATCAAAGGCCTTTGTATGTAAGCCCTTGGGATCAGTCAGCAGCCCCCAAATGATTTTCCCTTTGGTTCCGCCGGTTTTCGAGATGTTAACTTGTTCAATCTCCTGAATTCACGGGGATTTTTTGTCTTTTTCTTCTTACTACCTTTGCCTCAATTCAACCATGGAGGCTCTTTTGCAGCAGTCTCGCACTATGTGCCCTTTCCTCAAGCGCACATCCCCCACCACCCTCCGCACTCTTTCAACCGCGACTCGGCCCAGCGCTAGCCCGGGAGGCGGAACCATGTCGAACCTTCAGGTTCTGGGTCGCCGCTGCCCAGTCATGAGCAAGGCTCTAGCTGTGCAAAGTGCCCGTCTCAATGGCACCAAGCGCTTCACCTCGCGCGCCGGCGGTGCGACTGGAGTCCCGCCTATGCGGGTTCCGACTGGCAAGCGGGCGTTGCACACCACTGGTGGTCATCCCGCCAGTCTTGCCTCTGGAGGATACGAGAAGAACGAGCGAGGTAAATAGAATCTCCGAAGCCTGGGATTTGAACAATTTCTAATCTGACTACAGAAAACCCTAACTTGGCCAGTCCGCTCCGCTCGTCCCCCACCGCCGCCGGTACTGCGGTGCGCGGCCCCCGCCCAGAAGCCCCAACCAACGCCAAGTTCAACTACGATGACTTTTACAACGTGGAATTGGAGAAGAAGCACAAGGACAAATCCTACCGCTACTTCAACAACATTAACCGTCTCGCCAAAGAGTTCCCTCGTGCCCACACTGCCTCTACCGAGGAGCGTGTGACTGTCTGGTGCTCAAACGACTATCTCGGCATGGGTCGTAACCAGCAGGTCTTGGACTCCATGCACCAGACTCTGGACACCTATGGAGCCGGTGCAGGTGGTACTCGCAACATCTCGGGCCATAATAAGCATGCTGTCGCCCTGGAGGAAACGCTTGCCAAATTGCATGGCAAGGAGGCCGCATTGGTCTTTAGCTCCTGCTACGTGGCTAATGATGCGACTCTGGCCACACTAGGTAGTAAGATGCCCGATTGTGTCATTCTATCGGACAGTCTCAACCATGCCTCGATGATTCAGGGTATTCGCCACTCTGGCGCGAGGAAGATGGTCTTCAAACACAACGATCTGGAAGATCTTGAAGCCAAATTGGCCTCATTGCCACTTAGTACCCCCAAGATTATTGCCTTTGAATCCGTCTACAGTATGTGTGGATCAATTGCGCCCATTGAAAAGATCTGTGATCTCTCCGACAAATATGGTGCCATCACTTTCCTGGATGAGGTCCATGCCGTAGGAATGTACGGGCCACACGGAGCTGGAGTTGCTGAGCATCTCGATTACGATGTGTACGCATCGCAGGATACAGCTTCCCCTCAAAGCACCAAGGGCACAATCCAGGACCGAATTGATATCATCACCGGTACCTTGGGCAAGGCCTACGGCTGTGTCGGTGGATATATTGCAGGCTCGGCAGCCATGGTAGACACCATCCGCTCCCTGGCTCCCGGTTTCATCTTCACCACTTCACTCCCACCAGCAACCATGGCTGGTGCCGATGCTGCCATCCAGTATCAGTCCCAGCAACCCCGGGACCGAGTCCTCCAACACCTCCACACCCGTGCAGTCAAGACTGCCCTCAGTGATTTGGATATCCCCGTCATTCCCAACCCCTCCCACATCGTCCCCCTCCTGGTCGGTGATGCCGAGTTGGCCAAGCAGGCTTCCGACAAACTTCTTAATGAGCACGGAATTTACGTGCAGGCCATCAACTACCCCACCGTTCCCCGCGGCGAGGAGCGTCTGCGCATCACCCCAACCCCAGGCCACGTGAAGCCCCTGCGCGAGCACCTCGTGCAGGCCGTCCAGGCCGTTTGGAACGACTTGGGCCTCAAGCGCACCAGCGATTGGAAGAGCCAGGGCGGTTTCGTCGGCGTTGGCGTTGAAGGCGCCGAGGCCGCCAACCTGCCCATCTGGGAGGATGCCCAGCTGGGCCTGCAGGCTGGTGAGACCATTGAAAGCGCTGTTGCTCGTGAACTCAACGACGCAGCTTCCCAAGCCGCCGCGCTTCCCGTGAAGGCTGCTACCCCTCTGACCGAGAAGGCTTACTCGGGAATGAACTCTGCCCCCTTCAGTGTGGTTGCCTAGAGCAGACGAGTCCTGTCGATTATGCTTCTCGGGTTCTGGGGGTAATTCTAGTCGCGTTATTCCCGTCCATTCATTTACCATAATCTCATGTTGTGCGGACATAAACATATGCATCCGTCTTAAATCATACCATCCCACACCATTTATGTCATTTCACCCTGTCTGCTTTTGATTAAATGATGTAGTCAACTTCGGGCTTGGATTTGCCGTTAATTGTGCTATTGTCTGTTGATGTGTGCCATTGATTTGGTTTGAAAGACAAAGAGCAATGTCCGATATACTCCTTGTAATTACATTGATATAGTGTCATTTATCGTGCTCAAGTGCACCAGGTTGGAATGAACAGATTCGAAGTGACATTACATCGCATCCAGGCTTTGGCCTTTCAGAGTATGGACGTGTTTAGAAGGTTGTCAGTGAAAATAACCTGTCATGGACAGGGCTTTTGAATATTAATATTTGGGGGGTTGACTTGTAAGTCAACCTCGACTTCAGTTGCAAAGAAGCCACTTCAAGTGGTAGGCGCATTGAGATTGCTACTACCTAAGAATTTGATTAAAAAAGGAAGATACAAACTGGGCAAGAAACACAATGATTAAGCTGGTAGACAACACACAAGTTGGAAGTGACTTTCCAACATTAGGGCAATTTGGAACCATCAAGAGAGCCCGAGTCTACTCAAAAATCATTATAGAAACGACCAGATAAATTCTTTTGGCTATGTAACAATGTCTCATTGATGTAGAAACAGGTAAAAGTAACAATTTTGAAATGCAGTTCCAAGGAGGCCTAACAACTTAACCCCCCTACTTCCGACCACCACGGCTAACCTTCGGGAACTCAACGGGCACACGCAAGCGAGCAACACGACGGGCATGCGCCTCTGCACGCCCACCCTTGATATTCCACTTCGCGAACTCCGTCTCACGAGGCTTATCAATCCGACAACCAAGCTCACGGAAGTACTGGTGAATGGTATTCGGGTCAAGACGTAGATCATCACGCAGATCGGAAGGATCCGTCGCAAGCTCGTTGGGCGCATTGCCACCAAGCGAGCTGGATCCACCATCGCGAGCCGGCTGGGGCGGAATGTGTAGCGAGAGCGCACAGATGGTAGTTTGCAGGAGGGTGAAGTCGTTCTTGGAGACGTAGCCGCCACTGGGTGCGAAGCGACGACGCACGGCATCGACAACAGACTCCGGAAGCAGATCGGAGGCAGTCTCGGCAGCAGCGCCGGGCTTGGGCTTCACAACGGCGGAGCCTGTAGTGTTCGATAGGATGCGGCGGAGGTCATCGCGGGGCGGGAGACGCTTGCTGCCTGGGCCGCCGCCCTTGGCGTTTGCGCCTGCATTTTTGAGGCAGCGTCCGAATTCGATGAGCAGCTGGATGAAGCGGAGGACTTGGAGGTGGGTGGTGTTGTCTGAGTTGACGACTGCGGCGACGCGGTTCGAGACGTAGCGCGAGACGGTTGTCACGCCGAGACCGGCTTCCACTTGAGATTTCCACTCGTCCACGCCGTTTAATTGGCTGAGGGTTGAGTGACTGCCTGGGACGAGGGTTTCAATTGTGTAAACGTCGGAGGGGTGCGAGACGGCGAGGTTCGGGGTTGGGAGGGGCTTCGCGGCTTGCACTTCGGCTTGCATGGCGAGAGCCTTGGCGAGACCGGAGGCTGTGTTTGCAGGCAGCGAGGAGATGAGGGCTGCACCGGCTTGGGGAACGGCGCCGGCGGGGGCGTTGGAGAGCTGGGCGTTCTCGGCCATGGATTGCACGGCCTTGCGGGATTGTTTGGTTCCGAAGGTGTTGGTTAGGGCGGTACGTTGGGCGCGCATGTTGTTCTGGTGCTGTTTGTTAGTTGGATGCTGGTGTATGGAACTGCAGGTGGGAGAAGATACCATTTCTTCGTCTGAGTCTTCCTCGGGCTTGCGGCTTCTAACTGCTCCTCGCAGTGTCGCTCGTCGCACCTCCACGACCTTCCATGTCTTGCGCTCCGGGTCAATAACTGCGACATAGTGCTTCACTTGGGAGTCAGTATCATCTCCCGTGCCTTCACGACCGACGAAATCCAACTTGGCGTGGTCTGAGGACTGCAGCAGCATCTCTGAAGAGACAATGCCCGGATTCCGAGTCGATGCCGCAGACTTGGAAACATTGGCGCGGCTTTTGATATATGGGTTCCAGCGGAGGGATTTCGAACTTTGGATACCGGGAGTGTCGGCTATAACGCAAAAATTTGATTAAAGATAGCTCAAAGTCTGGATAAAAAGCCTTCAACCCACCAATTACTGGTGCCAACTCGCTCTTATCTTCAATAACGCTGGCGGCCAGCGGGGGCAGCTGGTGCAGTGCAGGCTTTTTATTAGGACGGTCATTGTCCGCTGAGCGCTTGCGCTTGTGTTCTGCTTTGTTGGACGGCATTATGGCGTGAAAGACGAGAGACAAAAGATCGTAGCTCTCAAGAATCGGCTTCAGCGCGGTGAAATAAAAATGTCTGGACTTGTCTGGCAGAAAATTTTACGAGCGGAGACCAGACAGGCGGTGAGTGTACGGCTTGCCACACAAAAGGTACAGAAAACGTCACGCTGATCCTAATGAGAATATTCAAAGACCCGCGAACAATTGAAGCAACTCTGTAGTCGGCGTACTTCAGAATCTAAAGCTTTACATTTACAGTGGACTAAATTTGTTGCACTCATCAAGTCATAGATTCATCTGCAGTAGCTAAACCAAGACCTCCGAGTTATTCCATGGATTTTTGATAAACTCCCGGAAGAAACCTCTCCACAACTTTTGACCAGCCCGAAGGAAGGCCGTAAAGATAATGAGAATTGACCAGTCACCCCAATGCCGCGCTCAAAGACCGATGATTGCATCGGCCCTCCAACATCCACCTGAACACAAGAGCCCCTCCGAGTAGTGACCATGCAAGACATCAGACCGTAGACGTGAATGAATCCGAGGTGTTGGAAAGTGGGTAGACTGTTGTTGTAACAGCGGATCCGTCATTTCGATCTGTGATTTCTTCTGAGAATGGGTCTGAAATCGGTCCATACAGGTAACTCGTTGGATTGAGAGGCGTGTCACGAAGAAACGAAAGTCGCATCGTCGCGTCGTCAATTGTCGCGTTCAGCGTTCAAACATGAGCTCCGGCAAGGAGAGCTGAGATGGAGGGGGCGAGTAGTTTATTTGCTGATTCAGGAGTTAGCATTCAAGTTCGCAGATTATAAGCCCAATAGCCTTTCGCAAGACCATTTCCGCGCAATAGAAGTGACTTACGATCTGGCACGCATCTTTCTGCGCTTGCGCTTGAGACGGCGAGTGCGCTTCTTTCTCCACTTAGCTCTCATCTTCAAACTGATGACTGGGTTAGTGCGTTGTTCTCGAGAATATCGCAAGCTCCAGGAGCATTACTTACGATTTCGAGGATGAAACAGAGATAGTAGTAAGAAAGACGAAGTGACGGCGGCCGAGACGCATTTAGGTACAGTGCGGCTGACTCAGCCGCCCTCGCTTAGGCCCCACACGTGATACCTCAAGCTTCCATCTGTGACGACAGATGACTATGCCAGATTAGGAAATTTGATAGGGTTTCACTCCATAGATGCCTCTGGGCTTGCAAATTATTTGAAATTAATTTATGTCACATACAAAGTACGAGTGGGGATTGTAGGGTAGAGACATTAGTATATTTCAGCATCCACGAGAAGAGCAATGCCACTACTATTTTTTGAAAAGAAATATCGTAGGCCATTTAGCTCCAATGGGGAATCATTGAGACTTTTGATGCCGATGTTTTCGCTTGGGTATAGCCAGCTGTATATTCATCAAAGAAGCACGCATGATGTTCATCGCTCACGGAGTTTCGCAAAATTCGTAGGACAAGGTCCACAAAAGTTAAATGAAAAATGGTCCGTCTTGCAAAAGTTTCTAACCAACCTGGATCCTGGATGATTTCTCAGTAAGTGTACCGATATGTGGGTGCCAAATCGCCCAGATATTCCTCTTCATCCTCGGGAATCGTAGCAGGATCAGCAGAGGCGCGATCACGTTTCTTGTTCTCAAACCATAGGGCTGCCATGTAGAGCACGCACGCCAGACCAGCGAGGCAAATGAACGAGAGGCAGATGATATACCCGGTTCGAAAATCTGTGACTCCATTCTTCACGATAAAGGAATAAGTAGCGATGATTCCACCGATATTGCCGAAGCCAACCTGCCATGCAGTTCCTACGCTGCGTCGATGATGGCCACCTAGATTCATGGAGAACCAGCATACAATGACCGGCATGGCGCTGTAACAGCCACTGGTGAGCATGAAAAGAGCGCCGTATTGCGCACTATTGTTGTTATGGATGGTCAAAAGCATGATGAATCCGACAACGGCGATCGCCATTGGAATTATGGTGAACATAAATCTGTGTCGCAGTCGGTCAGAGCAGAAGGCGACTACCATTGAGAAGCCGAATGCTGCAGCCCAGGGAGGAATGGAGTAAAGCTGGGTTTTGATCGCGCTATAGCCGTAGCTCTTGATAATCGACGGCGCGAAGTATGCATATCCTGTAAGAGATTCAGTGATAACTCGGAGGGCAATCGAAGAAGGAAGTGATTTGCATACCATAAGCCGGGACAACCAAGCCAAAGTACATGAAGCCTCCGATAAAGACCTTGTCTGGAGAAGATTAGCGCGCTGTAATTGAATGCAAAGGGGTTATTCCAGCTGTACTTACAGTCCTTGAACACACCCAGAACCTCGCGCTTGCCCAAGTGAACGTTGTCAGCAGCCTTACCAACGTCCTTGGCCAACTTGGCACGCATGTATGTGCGTTCTTCCTCGTTCAACCACTTAACATCCTCGGGGAAATCAGCAATAAAGAAGAACAGGATGATCGCGACAACACTGGTTAAAATGCCCTCGATAATGAACACCCAGCGCCAGCCACTGTAGCCGCGCATGCCATCCATCTTTGCAATTCCACTGGCAAGCAGACCACCGAAAGCGCCGGCCAGTGAAGTGGAGCTAAAGAAGAAGCTGAAACGCTTTTGGGCCTCAGAGCGTGTGTACCACATGCCCAATAGATAGAAACCTGGAGATCAAAGTTGGCACCTGTCTTTGGCGTTCTTCTTGGTACTTGTACTTACATCCAGGGAACATCCCTGTCTCAAAGACACCCAAAAAAAACCGAGTGGCCATCAGTCCACTCCAGTTGTGTACTAGACCTTGGAAGAGCATCACCAGACCAAACATGAACATGCATCCCGACACTGATTCGAGTTAACATGCTGTCCTCGCCGTAATTATGCTTCGTTGTACGGGGTGCCAAGGGACCACAACACTTACGCCAGACATGGGGCTTCAACTTCTTGAGCAGAATGTTTGACGGAATCTCAAAGATTATGTACGGAACGAAGAAAATGGTGAGCGCGGTGTTGTATTTCGTTCCATCGGTGATGTTCAAATCCTTCTTAAGTCCGAGAATAGCGGCATTGCTAACATTAACTCTGGAGGTCGATGAGTCAGCTGCAAACAACGCCAAATCATATCAGCCAACGGTAGGCTTACCGATCTAAAAAGGCAAGTAAATACAAAATACACAGACAGGGCAGGATGTGCCAATCGACCTTGGCTTGCAACTTGCGCGCGGTGGTAGTTGTGAGAGGAGGGAGATCGAAGTCTGTGTTGGAACTGGTCTGACTTTCGCCCTTGTCGATAGGCTCTCCAGTATAGGAGGATGATTCTGCGCAAGGAAAGTCTTTTGAACGGTCAGCATGAGTCAACAACGATGCGCTGGCGTGCGCGCACTCCCTAAACTCTTTAATTAACGAAAGAAAGAAATCAAGGATCGAATATACCTGAGACACCCATGACGAGATGCCAGTTGTACTAGAACAACGCACAGCTGCTGAGAAGGAGAAGTATGAGTAAGAGGGAAAGTAAGGGGAAATTGTGACTTTAGAGGATCGAATCCTCAAGCGCAGGTTCGCCGCTCAAGGGATATTACCAAAATGCTACGCTAGATGCCAGGCCACAAATGTGGGGGGAACTTCCGGAATTCCGGAGAGGGAAAAAAATGACCAAAAGATGTACATGGCCAAAATAGGCGAGTTGAAGGATACGAGTCACAAAAGGTGAATCATCTTTGGATGTATGACCGGTCGATCGAAGCCCGATCTCGGCCTATAGCGCGCCAATATGCTGTCCGGTACTTTGATTCATGATTTTTTCAACAGTTGCTTATTTGTGATCGGGAAGACCTCAGAAATATCCATAACAAATGAAGCTTGTGACTTTCAAATCTTATACTTTGCCCTTATAACCGAGTGCTCTGTGGAAATTTTGTCGGTCTCGTTTCCCCGCAAAATTGCTGCCAGGTCACGTGCTCTGAAAATGGGGTCCGACCAAATCTCCACTCAGTGGAACTGCGGGGCCTCATTCTTCAGAGTTGAACTCAGTTAATCTGTGTGTCTGTATCTGGCTTTGAATCTGGCACATATTATAAATTAAGAACAGCTCCTACACTATAAGAACCAAAAAACAAGAATTTGCCACTCCACAGGCCCTCCGTGGTCCATAGCCAATGGTCTCGACCTTTGATCAGGCACACGGGGAGACTGGGTAACATGAAGCCTATAGCCGCGCCAACATCTTTACAAGATCCAATTGACAAAAGTTGATTTCCACGAGTGTCCTCCTTCAACAAATGATCGGGACCAACGGCACTTTCGTCCAATCCCTCAGCAATGAGCCAACCCCGTTTAATGTCCCCACATGGAGTGGGGACTGTATCTACGATGCTGTGCACGGCCGGACGCGCATGCCGATCTCATATCACCATTGCGTAGACTCGTGCACCAACTTTGTCTACTCGCAGGGTTGATACAGTAGTCTCTACCGAGTCACTAGCCGTGAACGGGGACTCGTGGATAAAACAGATATTAGGTGCCACACAAATAGCCGGGACCAAAAGGACGACTTCGAGTGTTTTGCCATCTTCTAAGGTCACCGTCGCATGGGTCATCAGATCCCTCTCAGTCCCTGCACCAGGTGGTGAGATGGTTACAACACGTGCGCCCTGAGTCACTGTCACACCAATCCATGCGAGGAATCCCTCCGACTCGTTCGCGATCGCGGGCCGCAAGACGGGGAGGATCCCTGAGCCCACCGCCACTAGGGTAATGCGGACCTTAAGATTCTCCAGTTTGGAGCTGAGCCAGCCAGCGCAACCGTTGAGACATTCACCTAGCATGCCGGCCGTTTCTACTCCGGCCAGACTTCTGTCTGCAATGGCAACGTGTTTGGCATTGGGGAGAGCTGCGCGGATGGCATTCAAGGTCGTGCGCAGGGATTCAGAGTCCCTGTTTAGACCTAGTAGGGGCGACTGGGTAGATGTGCCAGTGCCAATGACAAGTGCATGGTATCCAATCTTCTCGGCACTGAGTTGAGAGGTAGCAAGCTCTGAGGGTGCTTCTCTCTTCAATCAATTTTGATTCTCCAACCCTTTCATCGAACAGACTTGACAAGTTTCTCTGTAGGCAGGAAAGTCTCTGTCTTCCAGAGATGAGCAAAAAAACCAAATACCAAGAGTACGACAATGTGTGGCTCAGCTATCTTCGCACCATTTGTCTTGACGCTGCAGTATCACTCCACTTTAATCCAGAAGCTCCCTTTCAATGTGGTCTCTTCTCTGTTGCCTGCGACATCAGAGTATTATCCGGCTGCACTTCAATGTGGGTTTCTTCCTCTAATGAATGTGCTGTGTAAACGTATGAGCCTCCTCCGACCATAACTTTCTCGGTCTCTTGCCCTTAGGAGACCGATATTACCCACGAATCAATTTCGTCAGCGATCGAGTATGCAGTATAAAATGGTTTTCCTTGGCGCCTAGATTTAGCTACTCAACATTTCTTGTTCACTGTTAATCTCCAGTTTTGGTTGGTCACGGTCCTTGGTGTAAATCTCCCTGAAGCGATCGTTATAACCATCCAGGTGAACCGCTTGAAACACCAATCCAGTCACCCCTGAAGATCAACTTTACTAGACCCATCTCATCTCTATCCAACCCATGAAATGCGGCAGTCCCCTATAATCTGCGAATCTTAGCAGGGCTATCCTTGTCTAGTATTGAGGGATCGACCCGAAGTGGGCCCCGCCAAACAAAGCACGAGCAAAGTGGGTTTGTACAAGTTGACAAGAAATCAGGAGCTCTCGAGCATGTCAGATGCAGGACATCCAGGGGCTGTGACTGGATACTTAATGCTTGGCCTGGCACGACTTTTGATTTGCCATTCTGATTCTGATTCCCTCTCTTCTCTTCCCTTTCTTTATCTTTTCCCTAGGTGATGACGATCACTTTAAACACCACATCTGGGCTTCCTCTATACGGCGTTTTCCCATCAAAGGAGTTCACAGTTATTTAATCCCATTTTCTCCATTCTTCCACCCACCGTTCTCCGCTTTCATTTTGCCACTACCATGATGAGCCTGAGAAGAATCAGGGTGCAGGCGTCTAGATTTATGTTCACTCGTCGTGGGGCGTGTGTTATAATTATGACTTTGATGTGGTTCCTCTTTGGTCATCTTCCAGATCCTCCGTCCACCCAGAACAATACTCGTGCAGACCGACCACCCCCAGAGCGTCAAGTAGCGGACACGCCACGATTTCTCTATCGCTCTCCCTTTCGAACCAATCCAGATGTTGAATATGAAAAGCAGCTGTCAAATGCCCTGGAGAAAGTTGAAAATGCCGTATTAGAAAGCCAGGAAAACAACCAACCCGAAGATAGAATCTGGCAGATTGCGAAAGATGAAAAGCACAGGGGAGACGACTCAAGGATCTTCCAAGGGAAAAATAAGGAGTGGAAATACACGGTAACTACCTCGACCAGATACTGCAGAACTTGCTTGACTTCAACTAAGAAATTACAAAGTTAGTCACTGATACAAAGGCCATCGCGTTCGTGACCAAGGAGCTATCTGCCATTCCCGAAATCGCAGCCACATACAACTCCTACCCTCGCAATGTCCTCCGAGCAGATCTCCTCAGGTACCTGCTTCTCTGGTACTACGGAGGGTTCTACGCAGATATCGATGTCTTCCCGGCTCAGACCATCAAGACCTGCCCAGCACTAGAACCCTTCTTCGCAGCCGCCCCTGACGAATACACCCAACGCAGCAACCCCGATGTGTCCCTCGTGGTTGGAATTGAAGTCGACGAGCCATACGCTTCACGACAATTCATGCACGACTGGCACTGGACAAGGAGCTACGGGCTGATCCAGTACACCATGTATGCACCGCGACGTTTCAGCCCGCTGCTCCGCGAGACCATTGTGCGGGTCTTGGCACATACCAGACACTACAAACGTGGTCACAGCAGCTTTTTCCCCAATCTGGCGTATGACGAGAAGACTATCTTAGGGGTTACAGGACCCGATGTCTTCACCGATGCAATTCTTGACAAGCTTTCTTCCTCGCTTCCTTTGACACATCCGTTCGTTCAGCAATCTGTCGACGCAGATGTGGAGATAGGGGATCTTCTCTCTCCTGAACTCGGGGAGTTGAAGGAACGGGTAACGTGGGCTCCGTTTCATCAACTCCGGGATCCTGTCTGCATCCAGGCTGGCGAGGCTGCCCCGAATGAATCTATGGGTGGACTGTGTATATTGCCCATCAGTGTATGGGGGAATGGGCAGAGACATAGTCAGGCGGGAGGGTTTAATCACCCTAATGCTTGTGTCAATCATCGATTTGGGCGGACATGGAAGAAGGGGTGGTGGGAGTATATTTTTGGGTGAAGCTTTCTTCAATAGAGATAGCTTTGATAGTTGAACATACTTGAGATAGATCAGGTAGTGTAGCATCTTGCTCTTTCAATTCATCTCTTTGTAATGGGTTTGCACGCAGTGCTGGGGAATCGGAGATGAGCATAAAGGACAAAACCAGTATGAGTGTATTGGCAAGTGAGAACTATCGACCAGGGAGCAAAGGAAAGGACTGTAAGAGTCTTTAATACCCCGAGAAATATTCAAACAGCATAATCTTGGTAAAAGCAAGATCCGTGCTTTGATCCCCCGAAGCAATCAATTGTAGCACTGGCAGCCTTCCTTCTGGGGGTTCTGGCAACGGGCCTGGTTGACAGAACAGCCCCCACAGAATGCACATGTATCAGGAGAATAGCAGTTCCCCTCTCCTACAACACAACTTCCATGGTGGCCAACACACTTGGTGCACGCGTTGGTTGCTCGGCCCTCAAGATCCCTCGCCTAAAGTAAACATGTTAGAGAGTTTATCTTTACACACAAAGGGGAGTTAACCAGCTATATACCTGGACCAAGCTTTGCTGTATGGAGTCAGTGATCTTGTATAGGAGGGCTCAAAGGGTCGAGAACTCACAGGCTCTCCGTACATGATATCCTCGCCAGATTGGTAAATTTCAAGTTCGACCCCGTCAGCGGTGAAAATACCGCTCTGTGCAGCCGATGCCATTGCAATGAACAAGGCCGTGATTGCAGCGCCTTGGATGAATAGTCTCATTTTGAAAAAGAAGTTGAGGGTCTTGGAATTGAAGCTGAAGGGATGAAGTGGTTCGAGAAATGGAATGGATGTTGGATTTGAATAAGACCAGCAGGGGCCTTTTATATCTTGTAGTTGCTGAGTCCAAATTAGTTTGCACCCCTCTGCTGGCAGGGAAAGTATGCAACTCTCTAGTTTAGGTGACCGGCAGTACAATCAATCCTTCGACGCATGACGGGTAAGTCTGCCTATATTGAGGGTAGAATTGGCATTGGTAGACACTTCTAGGCACCAAGAGCGTCGGATTCGGAAGTAGACGGACGCTTCTCTGAGGATCGTCAACTCGTAAGCCTTACCCAGTACTCGGCAGGCTCGTTGCTTTTTCTAAATAGCTTACTTGGTGTTTCATTGGTCATGCTCTCCGTGACAGTTTAGCAGTTTGCTGTTATCTCTGACAAAAATCTTTTGGTTTCTCCCGGGTGTCCGGAGATCCAACCCAATCGCAAATGGGCGAGGTCTTGCGATGGAGATTCCCCTAAAACCCCTTTGAAGGAACGCCCTCGAGAATCCAGATTCCCCATAGAGAACAGATGATCCAAGTTTGTTTTCAATACCAGTCAAATGAACGTTCTGTCAACAATTTTAATAGAAGGGACTGCGTTCTCACGACGGGATCAAGGTAAGCTGTTCATATTCCCTAAGATGATTAGGGGTGTTGATTGACCATGTCATTGAAAGAAAAAGCCATAGTGATGGTAATGCGAGTGATCTACAAAAAGATGGACGGGCTCAAACTCTAGGACTGAAGGTAAGACCCAAGTCTTTGAATGTATCCAATAGCAACCCTGAAAATACGGACTGATGCAGAAGCAGGCACAAAATAAAGCTGGCCATGTGGAGATGGTAACACAAAATCATGGATCCCTACACCTGTGGCCTAGTGAGGTGGTTACGCAAGGAACTATGCCGTTGATCACTATTTAATAGCCGGAGTGCCGCGTAAATGCAAAGATTACCCCATTTTTGCGGAGCCTTGCTAAACTAGGATGTGACTACTCCGTACAGCGAATGAGGGTAACTTCACCGTGATATCGGCTAAACGTAATTATATTGACTAGTGCTTATGCCACTAAAAACTGCTCCGTAGTCAGGAGAGAGATGCCGGATGATAAGTGGTAATTAAATTGACAAGAGCGTGTGTGCCCAAATTGTGTAACTAAATGGAGGTTGAAACGCAAAAATGGGTTTGTCAACTGCTATTATCTCCTTATGTTTCTCCTCTATAATCCCCCTTTAATCATCAATCCTTGGGACAAAACAGTAGTTAGAGGTTGGCCAAGAGTCGTGGAAGTCCTCTGTAACAGGAACAGAACCCCCCAGATTTCGGGATAAAAACAAAACCATGAAAATCCATATACACCGGATTTTAGGCCGCGCAAGTTGGATTTCCCTTTCCGTTTTTTTGCTCTCTGAGTAACGTGTTCGGTAAGCGAGTGGGCCATGTAAGCCAGTGGGCCACCCAACCCAACCTACCAATTTCAAATATGAATATATCAACCAAAACGCCAATAAATTAAGTATACTAAAATCATCTATCTAGCTAGGCATCTATTAATCTTATGTCCTATTTCTCCACAATCACTACACTTTGGGGGGGGGCCCGTATACGTGGTTGTAAAGCCGGCGAAGGGCTTCTTCGTGGAGGGAGAGGAGGTACTTCAATTGCTTCCACCGGCTCAGTTATCAATTGAGAAGCTTCTTGAACTGAGAGGCCTTCTTCAACAGGTATCTGCCTCCGGGATCTAGTACGCTTTTGCTTCTGCTTCTCGTTGGCGGCGCGTAAATCCTTGTTTCTTTGGCGAGTAAGATAGCACCTTGCATTGTAAGACGGAAGCCTTTTACAAGCTGGTTTAATGCACGATCTGACGGGCTAGGTGGGCTTCGAGATCTTGCACGAAGTAAAGCTTTGATTGATGAAGCTTGACGACATAGTTCTTTCTCCGTAAAGGGGGTTTTTGGGGTCAAATCCCGGCTTGATTCACTCCCCCGGCTGGCTGGGGGGGGGTTCAAAGCCGAATATCAAGCTTTAAAATCACTCGGTCGGGTGCAAATGGTACTAAACTAGCTGCTCCGAAGCGCCAATCCTCTAGGAGGCTGTTAAACCATGAATTAATAAAGACTTTGCCTTTAAAAATCACACACGGAGGAAGCGCCCACCCAGAAGCATTCGTACATTCAACCACCGTCACCTATTCACGATTTCTAGGTTATAAAACCAACCTCCGACCGTAGTATTCACTCCTCGTAATAACCTTCGCAGTTATAGTCAATCCTATTGCAAAACCAGTCTTATCACAGTTATAGATATCATTAGGGTCGATTCCAAATTGAAGGACTTTTGAACCAAATCAAACCACTCCCCAATGATTTTAGGATCTTCGCATCTCGCACGCTCGTAGTTATATCGTTTCGAGAATCGGGAGGATAGGAGAGGATGCCGTTTCACGAAGTTATATACCTATTTCTCGCCGACCGAAAGAACCGGGGTAGTTCCACGCTTTTGAAGAAGAAGATCTGCTATTTCTTGTACTATAGAGGGCCGGGGGGCTGATCCACGAGAATCCATAGAGATGATCCATTTCTGAAGAGATTCCTCTTCAGTATCGGTCAATTTATGAGAGTTGGCGCGAGAAATCGCGCGGTGTTGTATACCATTCAGGCGGGTAGAAAGGGTGGATCTTGGGACGTTAAAACGGCGCGCCACTTCACGAATTGAAGAGATTTCTTGATTTTTAAAAGCCTGGATAGCTAATAAATCCTACCCTCTTGCTCTGCTGAATTGCTAGAGGATCGGGATCGAATTGGTGGCATAGTGGGTGGTTGAACTAACTAAGTGCTAATCAATGGACGCGTTTTGGGTAGGGTGGCCAGCTCGCTCACCGAATACGTTACTCCTGATCGCTGCCCTTTTAATCCCGTGTCTTCAAACCGAACCACCATGAACACAGTAGTACCGTCATGGCTGACGATGTCTTAGAAAGACTGATACAAGAGAGTCCCATTGGAAATGGACTCGATGGCTTTCGGACATCTTTCCTTTCGATCTGTGAAGGGAACAGCCTACCCTGCACACTAGACGCGGTCAATCATCTCACGCAAGAAGGGAAGGACGTTAACAGCATTGTGGCTATCATTCATCTAACGGTCATACAGATATTCAGAATGTCACACTTGACCTATTATTTGCTTTGCGGAATATTTCTGCAACTCGAACCCTACCATCGAAAACAAGTCCTGGAACTCTTCAGAACGACCTCCGGAGATTGATATCTGCGGCTGCCTCCGAAACGTTCGATTTCTCCCGTATATATCCCCTCTTAGCTGCTATTCTTGCCTGCAACCCCGAGAGCAACATTTGGAACTGTGTCTATAACGCAGTCAACGAACCCACACCCTCTCCCCGAGCGATTGCTTCCTCTCTCCAGCAAACCCCATCGAATATCAGGACGAGTAGCTTTGCGAACTCCTCAGAACACCGCCAAGATATCGACAAGGTCCTTAAGTCCGAGCTTGGGTGTCTTTACGTTGGGCTCCCGCATTTTCGCTCAACATTTTTCGACGCTATCAGTGGTCTTCAAAAAGGATCCGAAGCTGTTTTCCAAAGATGTATAGAGGGCAGCGATCCGCTTTTTTTTTGTGGGTGGAAAGGATGGCCGAAGGACGCAAACCAGGAGAAGGTTTTGAGTTGGTTTGTAGATCTGAGCAAGAATCTGGCAACGATCTCGGCAGACTACAACCCTATGACAGCACACCTACGAAGACCGCTGGCACAGCCCAACAAGCCCATTCAAGGCTCTACGGCAGAGCGCAAGCTAGACATCGGCTTCGTGAGTGACGCCGATGCGAATAAGGACACCCACTGCCATTGGTCGCAGATTCTTGTGCCGGGAGAGCTAAAAAGCAACCCAGCAGCCGACACGGCTTCCAAAGCATGGCTTGACCTGGGTAGATATGCCAGGGAAGTCTTTGCGGCCCAGGATACCCGTCGCTTTGTTCTAGGCTTTACCCTATGTGGATCCTTGATGAGAATATGGGCGTTTGACCGTCTTGGAGGAGTTGCATCCGAACGGTTCGATATAAACGAGGATGGACTTCAGTTTGTGTTCACTATTCTTGGATTTATGTGGATGAGCGAAGAGCAACTTGGATTTGACCCTACCATCACCAAACAGGATGGCGAGCGTTTCATCGAGATCGAGCGGAACGGCCAAACGGAGCGGCTCGTCCTTGAGAGACTCATGAACCGGGTACCCTGCATTACAGGTCGAGCAACCACATGCTGGAAAGCGCACCGTGAGGCGGAACCTGGGATTCCACTCGTTGTCAAAGACTCATGGCAATACATAGAGCGCGACGAAGAAGGGGAACTTCTTCAAGAAGCCACTGAGCGCGGGGTGGTCAACGTCGCGCGGTATTATCACCATGCGACTGTTCGTATCCGTGATCAGGATGACGATGTCCAAGGCAACGTTCGAGGGGACTTAGATATCAGGGCCGCGAGCAACTATCGGCCAGAACGATCGGCGCCTTCGACTGGCACGGGCACAACCGATGGTCCGCGAAAGAGCCGCAGCAGCGGCCAATCTAACTTGAAGCGCTTTTCCAGTCAAACTGGTGTTTTTTTGCGACCTAATAAGCGATCATGTTCAGCATCTCCTACCAAGGCATCTATCAATCCACTGCCAAATCGAGTTCATCGGCGTATCGTCCTACGCGATTATGGGAAACCTATTTACAAGGCAAGCACTCGTACGGCTCTGCTTGCCGCGCTAGAGGGTTGCATTGTAGGACATCAGTCTTTACAAAGAGCAGGAATACTCCATCGAGATATCTCAATCAATAATCTCATGATCAATGAGGACAAAGAGAACCCGTCGTGGCCGTCGTTCCTAATTGATCTAGACCTGGCCATCAAAGAGCGGCGGGTCGGTGTCTCGGGGGCGAATGGAAAGACCGGCACGAGGGCCTTTATGGCGATTGGCTCACTTATGGGCGAGAAGCATTCATTCATGCATGATCTCGAATCATTTTTCTGGGTGGTTTTTTGGATATGTATCCACTACAAGGGACCGGGTAATGGAAGGGTTGTGCCAAGATTTGACGATTGGAACTTCGTGGATACGGAGGTTCTAGCTGATTTGAAAAAGGGAGCGATATCTGACGAAGCCGATTTTGTGAAAACCGCGAATGAGCACTTCACAGAGTACTATAAGCCACTGATACGATGCGTCAACAAACTCCGGAACGCAGTGTTCCCTCATGGAAGGAGGTGGACTAAGGTGGATGCAGTATTGTATGATCGGATGAAAGAGATTCTGAGGGGTGCTCGAGAGGACTAAGATAGTACAGGGTCTCACTGGATAAATATGGACGATGCGGCTGATGACTTCATGGGTGACCTTGATGAGGATGAAAACAAAGACACGCGGTTCAATCAACGGCGATTTGATAAATTTACAGAAAAGGCTAGCGAGCTTAGTTACAGTGAAGACGAAGAGGAAAAGTCTGCCAATGGCATTCGCCGCTAGCCAGACGCTATACATCGCCGTAATCAACTCAATTACCGAAATCTCGAGCCGAAGTCTAGGTTAGAAAGCAATTGGACCGTAGCGCAGGATGCTTCGTCTGTGGATGATAAGGATATGGCTTTCGTTCGCGCTCGACGCTCAGATGACGAACCTAGAATTATAGCAGGCACTTCAAAAATCTACTGATAGTGTTCAAGATGGCCGGCGATGTTTTCCAGATATCTCGCTAGCGACCCGACCCTACTCAATCCAGTGTATTCTTAAAGGTTGGCTCATGAGCCATAAAATGAAAACACACCAAAAAAAATTACAATTTCCTATTAGTTCTCGGGTTCGTGCGTTTTATATCTTACCAAATTATCCTCTGACAGAGCTGCTGCATTGCCGGCCCAGTTAATCGCATTACGAATACTAAAGTTACATGATCAACAGGAGATTAGATAGTGCGAATATATTTCAGCTTTTATCTTTTTTACTCATCTATCATGCGCAATTTCCCGCGAACTTTGTATATAGCCAGTGTTAGATGAAACTGTGTGCAGCTGATACTCTTAAATGCACTCCACCTTATCTTGGCCTTCATATTTCTTTGCCTCGCTATTTTGCTTCCTCCACATACGGGAATAAAGGCCATT